CTATTCAGAAACATTGGGGCCATATGCCCCAACTTCATTCCCATTGCACCACTTGGCGCCTAGTTTTTCGTTTCCTCCCAGCGCCACAAGTGTGCCCCCACAACTATTAAAATGTGAGCTCAAGTGCAGCTCGATTCTCGAGAATCGGACCATTTCTCGACTTATGCATGCCATCCTTGCGCAGGGGCCATGCTAATCTCGGAGCAGTCGATTTCGTCCGCACGATCTCAACAATCTCACAGTCAAAATCGATCGCGCCATCTGCTTTGGCCCTACGGGGCGCTCCAACAAAAGGACGTATGCATAGTAGAGTGTGTCTTGATTCGATCCTAATGCCTGTCGGGCAAGAGTCCGATGTGTTTACCTATTGGCTCTCTCCTATTACATGCTGAATAGGACCAGCTCTTCAATATGAAGAGCTCCATCCCCAGTAGGATACCAGTCTGCAGCGTGGTACGCCCTGCTGGCCCTACCATCCATCAAACGGGTTGCCCATCCCCAAATTGACCGCGTGTCCAGCCTGATAGGGAAGGGTGCTGGCCCTACCTAACCGTGGGGTCAAACCCCGACGAGGGTAATTTTAGAGTAACTCGGAAAATAAAATTTGACAATGTGTGACGAGTGCGAGGCTGCGGGAGACAGGAAGAGCCGAGGGGGAGGAGAGAGAGAGGGAGGGAGGGAGAGCACACACACACACTCACTCACTCGACACGACCGAGGGTCGGACGCAAACACATTGGCAAAGACAAAGTCGAAGTCTTGGATTCCGAATGCCGAAACAGGAGCAAGTCACACTGAGTACGAGCACAGCAGCTGAAAACTGGTACCCGACTGGTCCCCGTACCGTACGGGGAGCCGGTATAAGTACCGGTGACATGTACGGTACCAGGGGCATTTCTACAAAGACCCCGAGGGCAGAACTGAAAAATGTGGTATTTGAAAGTGGCGCCTGAATTGTAGGATGGCGGTAGTTGTCCAAAATCCTACGGTACCAAAGGAGGGGTTTGGAAAAAGGGTGCCAGGCCGAAAACGGGATGCAGCCGAAACAGCAAAAAGATAGACCAGGGATCGAGCCCTGGCGGAGTCCGTAACACTATCCCCTCCCTCCGAAAGGCAACGTCCCGGCTGCCAAAAAGCCAAGGAAACAAAAGGAGCTGTGAAGGACGGGACGAGGCCGATCACAGGTCGGAGAAGGAGAAGGGGGGTGATATTTTGTCTGGTGTTCTGCACAGGTGAAGGTATGATGTAACTGGGTAGGTCTATAGGGGAAGCTAAGCAATGTTCAGGGGACAGGGGATTTCCATTGATGTTCTATTGGGTAAGGGGAAACGATGTTAAGGAAAACAGGGAATTTCTATTGATGTTCTAGTGGGTAAGGGAAACAATGGTCAGGGGAACAGGGAATGTCTATTGATGTTCTAGTGGGTACAGGGAACAATGGTTAGGGAAACAGGAATCTGCTAATGATGTTCTACAGGGTTGTCAAAGTTAGGAAAAATAAAAATGAAAATGTTTGTTCAGGATGCAAGGGCTGGTGTGTTCGAAGGAGTCAGAAGCAGAATCTCATGTAGGAACACAATGTATAAGTGTCTTGAAAGGGGGTCTGCAGCGGTCTTGATCATGTCTTTGGAGTAGGTGGTAGAAGCGGTCTTCAGCGACTGCAACAGGTAGAAGTCCAAGAAGCGTAGCAGTAGTTCAAGTGTCAAAGTCCAAGTGCTAGGGTGCGTCCGGTACACGAACTGCAATGAGGTCTGATCTGGAAGCAAGGAAGTCGCAGACTGATGCAAAGATCCATGTCACAAGTTGCTGCTCCAGTAAGTCCACGAGTCGGGATGTCAGCCGATGAAACAGCATGGTGGCCAAACCAGCTGCATAATCTCCATGAACAGTGAGGCAGCAGGCCATCGTCCTCGTGTGCTTGCCATTAGATCCTTTATTGTCGGTGTCACGCAGGTTCACAAGCATTGGACAAGAGAGACAAGGTAGTGGAGAGGATAGATGGGACAAGGCTAGGCAAGGGCAAGGGTAGAGCGGGGTTGCGAGGTTGTAGCAGGGTTTATACAGGGGTTTAGGGTTGAGAGTAGAAAAGCAGGTGCCAGTGGGATGCTCGACCGACGGGATAGCAGACGTTGTCGGGAGGGGGGCAGGCGGAGTAGACTGCGTCGCCCGGGGGTCGTCCGATGGGATGTGCGTCATCGGGGGGGGGGTAGGCAGACGGATAGTCGATGCCAAGTGTGCCACTGGTGGAGGAGAGATTGTCACCGATGGGAGAGCCGAGAGGCAAGTGGTCGATGCTTGGGGAGGATTGCAAGAGACAGGGGGACAATGTTCATGTGGGGGAGGGTCCGGCTGTCGTGGTGGAGGAAGAAGTTGGAGTAGAAGGGTCGGGTCCCGTGGAGCGAGGGGCCGGTCGAGTAAAGCGGCTAACGTTGGGGCAGTTGGTGTGTTGATGACCTAACTGGCGGCAGCGAAAACACCTGTTGTGTTCCTGGAGGTATATGGGTTTTGTGGGTGTGAGTTTTTGGAGTTGACGGGGTGGAGAGGCAGAAGGCGGTCGGGAGGCACGATCCTGGCGTTCCGTCCGCATAAGGTGGGCGGTCTGGAGGTCCTCGATGGTGAATTGGGAGGGGTCGAGAGAGGCAGCGTCGAAGTCGTCATCGGAGGTGGGTGGAGTGGTGTCGTTATGGAAAAAGGGGGGGCGGGAGGGAGCGGGCGCGGACTCGTGATGGGGGTGGAGGAGTCGATCGTGGTGAAGCATGCGAGAGAAGAGGTCAGCAAGGGGCATGTCGGGTTCGTGGGCGAGGGCGGTTGCAAGGTCTTTGTGGCATACTCGCTTGATGCGGGAGATGAACGCAAAGTCGGGAATGACGGTGGTGGGGAGGTGATGGCGGAGGGAGCGGATGTATTGGACGAAGCGGTCCATGGGACCGGTCTGGCGGAGGTGACATAATTGTTCGAGGTAGTCATCGATGGTTTTCTAGGGGCGGAAGGTGGCAGTGAGAAGATTGGCCCATTGGAGGAAGGAGCGACGTGGTCCTCCGGAGGCGCGGCGGTTGCTGACTCCGGCCATCCACCATTTGGTGACATTGTCGAGGAGGCGGGAGGTGGCAATGGGAGGCCAGTGGACAAGGGGCATGCGGTGGAGGTTGAAAGAGTTCTGGAGCTCGGTTAAGAAGAGGAAAACGTCCTCGTGGGGAAAGCCGGAGAAGGACATGATGTCGGCGGATTGGAAGGAACGGGGGATTTCCCCTTCGCGGGAAACGATCCGGGCGAGGGTGTTGAAGTTGAGGTTATCGAGGGTGGTGTCGTAGCAGGTGTAATCGAATTGGCTGTTGTCGTCAAGGAGGTAGTTGGGGGGAAGTTGTGGCATTGTGGGGTAAACCCCGGAGGTGACTTGGGAATAGGTGGGACGGAGGGTGGGGATGGCGGAGGTCGTCATGATGGGTTGGGGAATGGTATGAGAGTGCGGGGGGGGAAGAGGGATGACGTGGATAGGCGAGGAATGAGGCGGTGTGTTGGATGCGCCGGATGAGGGAGGAGGTGGGGGGAGCGAAACGGTGGTGGATGATG